AAAGAAAAGTTCTAAAATCTACTGACAGAACTGTGTCATGCTCAACAATGTCTATTCAATCAATACTTTAGGATGGGACTATTATGTTCAGGCAACCCTAACATTTGTGTCTACTTTGATCATTAATGTCTGCCAAGAAGAGAAAATAGATCAGGCCTTTGTTTGGGTGCCACATTCTTTTTCTTTTTTTTTTTTTTTAAGATAAATGAATGTGACAAGAGTGTTTCACATCCTAATTTGTACACTGCTTTGGCAGGATGTATGTTGGATTAGCAGCAACTAGTGACTACTTGATTTTATGTTTTATCAGGAGCTACAACCATAGAGAAATATGACCTCAGAACAAATTTGTGGATCCAGGCAGGGACGATGAATGGCAGGAGGTTGCAGTTTGGCGTGGCTGTTATTGATGACAAACTCTTTGTAATTGGAGGTCGAGATGGCCTAAAGACTTTGAACACTGTTGAATGTTATAATCCGAAAACAAAGACTTGGACAGTCTTACCCCCAATGTCAACACATAGACATGGTCTAGGTAAGATCTCTTTATTAATGTTCTTTTTGGAAACATTTTATTAATAATGCAAAATGTATGTTAGAAATGTGGTATTATTGTCATCAGTTCTCTTTAACGTTAGATAAATAATGGAATATTAAACCTTTTTTTTTAATTCTTGACATTTTCATGTGTTAGCCAAATAAAACAAACTCACTATTGTCGAGTTGATTCCGACTCATAGCGACCCCTTCTTGGGTTTCCAAGGCGGTATCTCTAAGGAATTACATTGCCCAGTCTTCCTTCCTGAAAGTGACTGTGGGATTTGAACTGCCAGCCTTCTGGTTAATAGTCAAATGCCTTAGGCACTATGCCACCAGAGTTCCTATGTGTTAACCAATGTGCATTGAATTAATGACAGTGATGGTGAATATCTCAAAATGGATTGGATTTAATCTGTCCTCTAAATTGTCACAACAGGTATTCATACAATAAGTAACATTTAATATTAAAAATGTAGAACTGTATGGAGAGGTCAGAATAATACAACCTAGAAGGAGTAGTTAATATGGAATGAGGAACACTTAAGTGAGGTGTCTCTCTGCCACATTGCTGTTTAGGCATCTAAAGTGTCACACTTATTATGTGCACTTTGAAAAAATTAAGAAGAAAAACTGAAACCTCAGGAGACATACTCTTTCAATATGGTATGATTTTAA